GATTTTTGAATAAGTGATATATCAGAATAAAGTGCGTTTCTTATGGATTAAAATGAGGTATACAAACCTGTCGTAGCTTGAAAACTGACAAAGTTATTTGCGTGAATAGGGAAAATACAATATACTAAGAAATGCACTCTGTACCAAAATTGTAATGATATGCAAATTTGACAAATTTTATGAACTTAAGATTTTTGCATAAATGATATATCAAAAGAAAGTGCGTTTCTTATTATTTAAAATGAGGTATACGAAACTTTTGTAGCTTGAAAACTGACAATGTTATTTGCGTGAATAGGGAAAACACATTGCGCCAAGAAATGCACTCTGTACCAAAATTGTAAAGATATGCAAATTTGAAAAATTTTATGAACTTAAGATTTTTGAATAAGTGATATATTCAAAGAAAGTGCGTCTCTTATAGATTAAAATGAGGTATACGAAACTGTCGTAGCTTGAAAACTGACAAAGTTATTTGCGTGAATAGGGAAAATACATTGTGGCAAGAAATGCACTCTGTACCAAAATTGTAATGATATGCAAAGTTTATAAATTTTATGAACTTAAGACTTTTGAATAAGTGATACATCAGAATAAAGTGCGTTTCCTATGGATTAAAATGAGGTATACGAAACTGTCGTAGCTTGAAAACTGACAAAGTTATTTGCGTGAATAGGGAAAATACATTGTGATAAGAAATGCACTCTGTACCAAAATTGTAATGATATGCAAATTTGGTAAATTTTATGAACTTAAGGTATTTGTATAAGTAATATATCAAAAGAAAGTGCGTTTCTTATGGATTAAAATGAGATATACGAAACTGTCGTAGCTTGAAAACTGACAAAGTTAGTTGGGTGAATAGAAAAAAAATATACTAAGAAATGTACTCTGTGCCAAAATTGTAATGATATGCAAAGTTTATAAATTTTATGAACTTAAGATTTTTGAATAAGTGATATATCAAAAGAAAGTGCGTTTCTTATGGATTAAAATGAGTTATACGAAACTGTCGTAACTTGAAAACTGACAAAGTTATTTGCGTGAATAGGAAAAAGAAAAATATACTAAGAAATGTACTCTGTGCCAAAATTGTAATGATATGCAAAGTTTATAAATTTTATGAACTTAAGATTTTTAAATAAGTGATATATCAAAAGAAAGTGCGTTTCTTATGGATTAAAATGAGGTATACGAAACTGTCTTAGCTTGAAAACTGGCAAAGTTATTTGATTTTTTTTTTTTTTTTTTTTTTTTTTTAATTTTTTCATTTTTATTTTATTAAATTGTGATTAATTAATTACATTTCATTTACTTATTACATTTCATTATATGTTTAAATATTGATCTTAAATAGATTAAGGACCCACGAAGCCATTTATGGCTTGTCTGTAGGTCAGAAAATTCTATTATAAATACATTACTATAAAGTTAATGTTGCGAACGTATATAAAAATTTTTTAGATCTTTCTTTTTCTTGAAATTATTTCTAATATTTAATATATTTGTTGGCAAATTATTTAGCATTTTAGGCAATTGAACTTCTATTTTGGCTTTTCCATAATTGTTTTTATACTTATCAGGTTTATATCTTCCTTCCGCACGTAATCTGGTATTGTACTGATGGTTTTTTTGTAGATATCTGTTATCGTGTTCAAAGTTGTTGATCAATGTGATTTCATATATACTTTTGATGTTTAATATACATAGTTGTTTGGCAATCTCTTTATACCGAATTTGGAATTCTGCAGTGTTGATTATGTTGTTTCTGTTGTTATTGATGTTTGTGCTGATATTATTATTGTTGTTCGTGCTGTTAATGTTGTTATTTGTGGTATTGTTGTAATTGTTTATATTGATGTTTCTTCTATCAGCTCTGATATTGTGTGCACTGATGATGTTTATGTTGTTGTGTGTGTTATTGTTTATGGATGTGTTATTATTGATGTTAACGTTGGTGTAATTGTTGTTTGTATTGATGTTTCTGTTGAATATGCTTATATTGTTTGTGCTAAGGTTGTAGTTTATTGTGGTGTCATCGTAAATGTTTGAGATGTTGTTTATAGTAATGATATTATTTGTGTTTGAGTTGTTGTTTGTAATTGAGCCATCATTACCATTGTTGTTTGTATTTATAATGGCTCTATTGCGGTTTATGCTATTGTTGGTGTTATTATATTTTGTGGATTTTCTATAGTTTTCCAGTAGTATTTTCAGTATTCTATTTTGGGAATGTTGAAGAACGTTGCAATAGTTTGAACTGCCCCATGCTGTGATACCATGTCTTATATATGATTCTGTCAGCGAGAAATATGCCTGTCTTAGTACGCTGTAAGTAGCTGAGTTGCTAAGATGATATAGCATAACAGCTGATTTACGCATTTGTTTTTGAACTTCTTCAATGTGGGTACGCCATTTAAAGTTGTGATCCACATACACACCCAAGTATTTGTAGGTATTTACTAACTCGATTTGTGTTGTGCAGTTGTCGTTATCGTGTAAGTTTTCATTATGGATACAATCGATATTGTGGAACTTTAAGGTTATATTTGTGTACCTGAAATGGCGTGGTTTAATGTGCATAATTTTCGTTTTGCTGGCATTAATTATTAGTCCATTATCATGGCACCATTTCGTTGCAATATTAAGTTCGTTTTGCATTATTTTGGTTGCTGTGTTAATATCTTTATTTGATACAATAATGGCGGTATCGTCAGCGTAAGCATATGTTTTGCTATTTCTTATGATGCTAATTAAGTCGTTTGCATATATTAGATATAGCAATGGACCCAATTTTGACCCTTGGGGGACGCCATGATTAACGTCGACTTCGGTACTCATATTATCGCCTACTTTTACTCTAAATTTCCTGCATTTTAAATATCCTTTAAAGAAATTTAGACAGTTACCTCTTATTCCAATTCTATCCAGCGTGTTTATGAGTTTATTGTGGTTCAAGGTATCGAATGCTTTGCTGAAGTCAACAAAAAGCGCTAAGCAATGAAGATTTTTGCTTAAACAAGAGTTGATATGGTTTGAAAAGTTTCCAAGCAATTTATTAATACTTTTTTTTTTTTGAAATCCATATTGGTTTTCGTTGATGATTTTGTAGCGTTCAATAAAATTTGACAGTCTTCGTACGATCACTTCTTCCATAATTTTCTCTATGATTGGTAGAATTGATATAGGCCTATAATTATTGTAGTCGTTTTTTGTGCCATTCTTATATATTGGACGAACAATAGATATTTTAAATAGATCAGGAACATCAGATTGAGTTATAATCATGTTAATTATATGAGTTATTATTGTAGTTAATGAACTCGCATTATTTTTGATGTCACATGGTCTAATGCCATCGATACCCGCACTTTTGTTTGAGTTCAGAGTCTTTAATATATTAAATACTTCCAATTCGTTAGTGTTCTCAACAAAAATGGAGTTACAAATAGTTTTTTCATTATAAATTAGAGTTTTTTTATCACATGTGTGTATAATCTTTTCAACATTTTGTTTTAGATTGGTAGCAAAGTTATTTAAAATATCTGGAAGTGATTCATTTTTGAAATTTTTTATTATGGTTTCGTCTAAATTTATTACTCTTTTGCCGTTTATTTCATTTATAAGTTGCCACGTTTTTCTCATATCGCATCTATTTTCGATAAACTTTTTTCTATAATAATTATTTTTAGTAAAGTTTATTTTTTTATTTAAAGAATTTCTAAATGTTTTGTATTCTTTTTCATAATCCTTGTTTTTCTTATTATTTAGCCACTTCTATAAAGTTTATCCCTTTTTTCACAACATAATATTAGCTCATTGTTTATCCACGGATTGTTCTTTCTATTTTTTTCTCGTTTTTCTATCATAGATTTTTTATATATATCATTAAATTTGGCATTGAAATTACTAAACAAATCGTTAACATTGTCGCTGTTATTGATTAAACTGAACCAATTTGTTTCTTGTATTAAACTATTTACTTTTTTATTATTTAATGATTTATTACAAAAGAGGTTTGGGACTCCCTGGGGAGCAGCAAAACAGGCTGGCGATCTCTGATTGTTTACATTATCACGTTCTCTTTCATTATCATCTACACAACAGAGAATACAATAGTGATCAGCAATTGCTGTTGTTATTACTGCTGAATATCCAGTTGATTTGTTATTGTTTCTCACAAAGCAGTGGTCAATACATGTGAGTGTGTCTGCTTGTGCATCTTCACGTGTACTCTCATTTATTACACTCTCAAAACCATTTGACATCATAATATCCATATATTTTTTTGTTGTTAAATTATTTTTCAATATATCTATGTTGATGTCTCCAATGATAATTGCTTCTTGTTTTCTTTTAACACTATTTATTACTTCATCGAGCTCGGAGATAAATTGTGTTTACATTGGACGATGGTGGTCGGTAGATAGATAGGAGTGTGAGGGGTTTATTGTTTATCATTATTTCAGTATTTAGCAATTCAAATGAGATTGTGTTTATGTTGTTGGTAGAAATTGATAATTCTTCTTTAGTGTAAACCGCGATTCCCCCTCCAGCACCATCTCGATTTATGAAGAGAGAATTGAAACCTTTAATTTTGTAAAAATCAGTTTCATTATCGTTTATGTTTGTTTCAACAAGTACAATGATTTTTATATTGTTTATAATATTGTGTATAGTAGCAAGAAAGGTGTTAAAATTTTTGCGGAGTGAGCGTATGTTCATATATAAAATAGTAAGGGGATAACTTAAAAATGTTTTTTCGATTTGATTAAAATAATTGTGTTTTTCTTGTTTGAAATTCATAGTTTATTTTATTTAATACAATATGATAATTTGGGAATTATATTGTGAGGAAAAGTTTAAAGACATTAACGGGTCTAACGATAAATACTTGAGAAAAGTGGAGTTGTGGGGAAAAGTTTAAAGACATTAACGGGTCTAATGATCGGTGTATTATAAGATTTTTTATGGGGAAAAGTTTAATGACATTAACAGGTCTAAGCGATCAATTCAATATCAGCAGTGTTTTTTATAAGGATTGCAGGAGTATTTTCCGTTTTTCTGGCAAATATGGATCCGTTACGTGACCAGACGTATTTCCAATTAGCTTCTTTGGCTTTAGTTTTTGCAAGCCAAAGAAGTTTCCTGTTGTGGGCAGTTAGACAATCATTTATGTATATATAGCTGTTATTATTATCATTATTAATAATGTTACCATCGATTCTATGGCGTTTGATTTTCTCCATAAATTCCCTTTTTTTGTTATAGGTTGTAAATTCTACTATAACTTTATCTTTGATATTTTTAAGACGGTAGGCATCACTAATATCATATTCATTAATATTCACATTTATTGAACCTGCTATTGTTTTTACAACATCGTTCGGTTGAATATCTTTGTTTTGTATGTTCTTTATTTCAATTTTTTTATTTAACATTTGTTGTGCCATTTGGTTTACTTTTGTATCGATTTCCTTAATCTCTTTTTTATTTACTTTGTTTTCTTCTCTCATCTCTCCCATTTGCGTCAAGAGATTTGAGAGAGTTGAAGTAATTTGCGACAGTGCGTTTTTCATCTCCTCTTTAAATGTATCGTCAGAGTGGGTGACTTTGTGAGATAATTGATCCACAGAAGTTTTTAGCTCTATTAAATTGCTTTTGACACCACCAACTTCAGATTTTACTTCGTTAACATCAGACTTAAGCTCAGCTTGAACGGTACAAATACTTGATTGCAATTCATTTAAAGAAATTGCCTCTTTAAAACGTTTTGAGTTCTCATTTTCAATACCATCCATTTCTCTTTGTTGCTTTTGTTGCGATTTGTCTTGGTATAATACACATTCGTAACTAATGTTATTTGTTGTTTTAGCGCGAGGTTTACAAACATGACATTTCCAATTTGACTTTCGCTCTGCTGTCATGCTATTATAAGTGGCTTCTGAGAGGGGACTGCATGGATTGAAATGGTATTTGTTGTTGCAATTATGGCAATAAACAAAATTACTCGGCAATGGCTCTGAGCACTGTTTGCAAGTATATATGACGATTGGTAATGAAACCATTGTTAATTTTGCTTTGTGCTATATTCTTTTTTTTTTATAAGATTTTCTTATTGTTATAAGTACTTTGATTGTTTATTATAAATAAAAGTATATTTTACTGGATTTTTTTAAATAATTTTTAGCACTATTGTTTTTGGATCACTTTAGAATCTGTTTAGCTTTTTTAAATAAATTTTTAGGCAATTTTAACCGAATATTATTCACTATTATTACAAGCGACAATAAAACACGTCCGTATGCGTTCGCAACTGTTCTAGTTCTTTTGAATAGGAAAGAGAAAAATATACTAAGAAATGCACTCTGTACCAAAATTGTAATGATATGCAAATTTGATAAATTTTATGAACTAAAGATTTTTGTATAAGTAATCTATCAAAAGAAATTGCGTTTCCTATGGATTAAAATGAGGTATACGAAGCTATCGTAGCTCGAAAACTGACAAAGTTAGTTGCGTGAATAGGGAAAATACATTGTGCCAAGAAATGCACTCTGTACCAAAATTGTAATGATATGCAAATTTGATAAATTTTATGAACTTAAGTTTTTTGAATAAGTGATATATCAAAAGAAAGTGCGTTTCTTATGGATTAAAATGAGGTATACGAAACTTTTGTAGCTTGAAAACTGACAAAGTTATTTGCGTGAATAGGGAAAACACATTGTGCCAAGAAATGCACTCTGTACCAAACTTGTAAAGATATGCAAATTTGATAAATTTTATGAACTTTAGATTTTTGAATAAGTGATATATTCAAAGAAAGTGCGTTTCTTATTATTTAAAATGAGGTATACGAAACTTTTGTAGCTTGAAAACTGACAAAGTTATTTGCGTGAATAGGGAAAACACATTGTGCCAAGAAATGCACTCTGTACCAAAATTGTAAAGATATGTAAATTTGATAAATTTTATGAACTTAAGATTTTTGAATAAGTGATATATTAAAATGAGGTATATGAAACTGTTGTAGCTTGAAAACTGACAAAGTTATTTGCGTGAATAGGGAAAACACATTGTGCCAAGAAATGCACTCTGTACCAAAATTGTAAAGATATGCAAATTTGATAAATTTTATGAACTTAATATTTTTAAATAAGTGATATATTCAAAGAAAGTGCCTTTTTTATAGATTAAAATGAGGTATACGAAACTGTCGTAGCTTGAAAACTGACAAAGTTATTTGTGTGAATAGGGAAATATACTAAGAAATGCACTCTGTACCAAAATTGTAACGATATGCAAATTTTATAAATTTTATGAACTTAAGACTTTTGAATAAGTGATACATCAAAAGAAATTGCGTTTCCTATGGATTAAAATGAGGTATACGAAACTGTCGTAGCTTGAAAACTGACAAAGTTATTTGCGTGAATAGGGAAAATACATTGTGCTAAGAAATGCACTCTGTACCAATATTGTAACGATATGCAAATTTTATAAATTTTATGAACTTAAGGTATTTGTATAAGTAATATATCAAAAGAAAGTGCGTTTCTTATGGATTAAAATGAGGTATACGAAACTGTCGTAGCTTGAAAACTGACAAAGTTAATTGGGTGAATAGGAAAAAAAATATACTAAGAAATGTACTCTGTGCCAAAATTGTAATGATATGCAAAGTTTATAAATTTTATGAACTTAAGATTTTTGAATAAGTGATATATCAAAAGAAAGTGCGTTTCTTATGGATTAAAATGAGGTATACGAAACTGTCGTAGCTTGAAAACTGACAAAGTTATTTGCGTGAATAGGGAAAATACATTGTGTCAAGAAATGTACTCTGTACCAAAATTGTAATGATATGCAAATTTGATAAATTTTATGAACTTAAGATTTAAGAAAGTCCGTTTCTTATGGATTAAAATGAGGTATACAAAACTGTCGTAGCTTGAAAACTGACAAAGTTATTTGCGTGAATAGGGAAAATACATTGTGGCAAGAAATGCGCTCTGTACCAAAATTGTAATGATATGCAAATTTGATAAATTTTATGGATTTAAGATTCTTGTATAAATAATATATCAAAAGGTAAGTGCGTTTTTTATGGATTAAAATGAGGTATACGAAACTGTCGTAGTTTGAAAACTGTCAAAGTTATTTGCGTGAATAGGGAAAATATATTCTGGCAAGAAATGCACTTTGTACCAAAATTGTAATGATATGCAAATTTGATAAATTTTATGAACTTAAGATTTTTGAATAAGTGATATATCAAAAGAAAGTGCGTTTCTTATGGATTAAAATGAGGTATATGAAACTGTCGTAGCTTGAAAACTGACAAAGTTAGTTGCGTGAATAGGGAAAATACATTGTACCAAGAAATGCACTCTGTACCAAAATTGTAATGATATGCAAATTTGATAAATTTGATGAACTTAAGTTTTTTGAATAAGTGATATATCAAAAGAAAGTGCGTTTCTTATATACTTCGAAATGTACTCTGTGCCAAAATTGTAATGATATGCAAATTTGACAAATTTTATGAACTTAAGATTATTTTATAATTAATATATCAAAAAAAAGTGCGTTCCTTATGGATTAAAATGAAAACTGACAAAGTTATTTGCGTGAATAGTGAAAATACATTGTGCAAAGAAATGTACTCTGTACCGAAATTGTAATGATAGGAAAATTTGATAAATTTTATGAACTTAAGATTTTTGAATAAGTGATATATCCAAAGAAAGTGCGTTTCTTATGGATTAAAATGAGGTATATGACACTGTTGTAGCTTGAAAACTGACAAAGTTATTTGCGTGAATAAGGAAAATACAATATAGTAAGAAATGTACTCTGTACCAAAATTGTAATGATATGCAAATTTGATAAATTTTATGAACTTAAGATTTTTGAATAAGTGATATATCAAAAGAAAGTGCGTTTCTTATGGATTAAAATGAGGTATATGAAACTGTCGTAGCTTGAAAACTGACAAAGTTAGTTGCGTGAATAGGGAAAATACATTGTGCTAAGAAATGCACTCTGTACCAATATTGTAATGAATGCAAATTTGATAAATTTTATGAACTTAAGTTTTTTGAATAAGTGATACATCAAAAGAAAGTGCGTTTCTTATGGATTAAAATGAGGTATACGAAACTTTTGTAGCTTGAAAACTAACATAGTTATTTGCGTGAATAGGGAAAACTCATTGTGCCAAGAAATGCACTCTGTACCAAAATTGTAAAGATATGCAAATTTGATAAATTTTATGAACTAAAGATTTTTGTATAAGTAATCTATCAAAAGAAATTGCGTTTCTTATGGATTAAAATGAGGTATACGAAGCTATCGTAGCTCGAAAACTGACAAAGTTATTTGCGTGAATAGGGAAAATACAATATACTAAGAAATGCACTCTGTACCAAAATTGTAATGATATGCAAATTTGACAAATTTTATGAACTTAAGATTTTTGTATAAATGATATATCAAAAGAAAGTGCGTTTCTTATTATTTAAAACGAGGTATACGAAACTTTTGTAGCTTGAAAACTCACAAAGTTATTTGCGTGAATAGGGAAAACACATTGTGCCAAGAAATGCACTCTGTACCAAAATTATAACGATATGCAAATTTGAAAAATTTTATGAACTTAAGATTTTTTAATAAGTGATATATTCAAAGAAAGTGCGTTTCTTATAGATTAAAATGAGGTATACGAAACTGTCGTAGCTTGAAAACTGACAAAGTTATTTGCGTGAATAGGGAAAATTCATTGTTCAATTTGGTAAATTTTATGAACTTAAGGTATTTGTATAAGTAATATATCAAAAGAAAGTGCGTTTCTTATGGATTAAAATGAGGTATACGAAACTGTCGTAGCTTGAAAACTGACAAAGTTAATTGGGTGAATAGGAAAAAAAATATACTAAGAAATGTACTCTGTGCCAAAATTGTAATGATATGCAAAGTTTATAAATTTTATGAACTTAAGATTTTTGAATAAGTGATATATCAACAGAAAGTGCGTTTCTTATGGATTAAAATGAGGTATACGAAACTGTCGTAGCTTGAAAACTGACAAAGTTATTTGCGTGAATAGGGAAAATACATTGTGTCAAGAAATGTACTCTGTACCAAAATTGTAATGATATGCAAATTTGATAAATTTTATGAACTTAAGATTTAAGAAAGTCCGTTTCTTATGGATTAAAATGAGGTATACAAAACTGTCGTAGCTTGAAAACTGACAAAGTTATTTGCGTGAATAGGGAAAATACATTGTGGCAAGAAATGCACTCTGTACCAAAATTGTAATGATATGCAAATTTGATAAATTTTATGGACTTAAGATTCTTGTATAAATAATATATCAAAAGGTAAGTGCGTTTTTTATGGATTAAAATGAGGTATACGAAACTGTCGTAGTTTGAAAACTGTCAAAGTTATTTGCGTGAATAGGGAAAATATATTCTGGCAAGAAATGCACTTTGTACCAAAATTGTAATGATATGCAAATTTGATAAATTTTATGAACTTAAGATTTTTGAATAAGTGATATATCAAAAGAAAGTGCGTTTCTTATGGATTAAAATGAGGTATATGAAACTGTCGTAGCTTGAAAACTGACAAAGTTAGTTGCGTGAATAGGGAAAATACATTGTACCAAGAAATGCACTCTTGTAATGATATGCAAATTTGATAAATTTGATGAACTTAAGTTTTTTGAATAAGTGATATATCAAAAGAAAGTGCGTTTCTTATATACTTCGAAATGTTCTCTGTGCCAAAATTGTAATGATATGCAAATTTGACAAATTTTATGAACTTAAGATTATTTTATAATTAATATATCAAAAAAAAGTGCGTTCCTTATGGATCAAAATGAAAACTGACAAAGTTATTTGCGTGAATAGTG